GGGGGGAGGCGGCCGGCCAGCCAGCACGCGGCGACACCCCCCACCCCCGGGACCAAGAGGGTAAGCAGGGTGGGTGAGCGGGCAGCCTCTTGGCCTATCGAGTGGCAAGGCACTTTACCCATGTGCCATGGTTGCCAACTCTGGGTTGGGACATTCCTGGAGGATTGGGGAGGACAGAGTTTGGAGAGGCCGCTCACCTGGGTATACTGCAGTAGTTTCCATCCAGGGGAAGTGATTTCTGTATCCTGGAGATCGGCTGTGAGTCTAGGCGGTCTCCAGGCACCACCTGGAGCTTGGCAACCCTATTGGTGTCTGACCATGCCAGGGCTCTCTCCCCATCTAAACTCGGGGTGCCATCCGCCAGGTGGGGCCTGGAGATCTCCTGGAGTCACAACTCCTCTCCATCTGACAAAGGGAGCTTTGACTTTTCGGGTGTTACATGCAAGAAACTTGTTTGGTTTCTTTCTCCTGGAGTTAAATCCAGTCCAGGTTTGGGCTCCTGGACTTAAATCCAGCTGCTCTACTGCAGACGACCCTCTGGAACTCATCCACATCCCGCAGAGATTGGTTCCCTTGGCTACTTTGAAGGGCGGATTCTATGGCATATCCGCTGTGATCATTTCCCCCCCCCCAAAAAAAAGCCCTGCTATCCCCAGGCTCCACACACACCCTATCTCCCTCTAGGAAGTTCCCAACCCAAAGTTGACAACCCTAGTCTAAACCCACTGTAGACAGAATAGCATTGTAGAACACACACACACACACACATACGGGGCCAGCAGAAAGGCATGAACCTGCTTATATTTACTCAGAAGTAAGTTGCATGTCACTCAGTGGGCGCCCCGAATCTGCAGGTGGATTGCCAAGAACAAGAAGCTGGCTTTGAGAGTCCCTGTTCGAGGAGGGTGTGATTTCAACCCTTTCCATTCAGAAACCCAAAGGGCATTTGAAAGCCACCTTTTGGATATATTTTTCACCAGCCCAGCCAATATTGGTTGAGGAGGACTTGCAAATGACTCTCCGTGCATTGAGGCCACGCTGAATGGGTCAAAGGTGACATTAAGTTCGGGCTCCTGTAAATGTTTAGGGAGCAGTCCTGAGGAGGTCAACTCAGAGGTAAGTAATTTTATTCAACGAGGCCCACAGAGAAGGATTTCCAGGCTTGCCCCTTTGGGGCTGACGTCTGCATACACACACACACACACGCAGGTATTGCTTATGTGGAAGTTTTGTGACCCACTCTATATAACAAGAGGCAGTTTACAACTTGATTAAAAGACACAACATCTGAGATTGATCCAAGCGGCCTGGAGTATTGAAGTCTGCTGAAGAGCCTCTGCCAATCAGAGAACTTAGCTGAACTAGATGGGCCAATGGGCAGCTTTAGATGAGATTACATTTTTTCCCCCAAGTGTGGAAATTGCATTTGGAGCACTGAGTGGAGACGTCCCCATCCACCCAGAGGTTTCACCTGTGCATGCAAGGCTGTTCAGAGGTATTGATGAAAATATATTTCCTTTGAGAACATACCCTCTTACATTGAAAAACGCTATCCCCGAGCTTAATTCTGCATTAGCCCTGCAAAAACTAACCAGGAATATAACCGTGAACAGAATATACATAGCTAGCCATGTGCTAAGCAAGTAAAGCATGTATTTATTATTTGCTAGTTAAGACACTGAACTGCAGACCAAAAGGCTGGTAGTGCAGCAGTTCGAGACCCAAGTGCCGTGTGACGGAGTGAGCTCCTGTCTCTGGTCCCACCTCCTGCCAACCTAGCAGTTCAAAAGCAAGAACTTGCAAGTAGATAAATAGGTACTGCTTCGGTGGGAAGGGAACAGTGTTCCGTGCGCCTCGGCATTTAGTCATGCCGGCCACATGACCACAGAAATGTCTTCGGACAGCGCTGGCTCTTCGGCTTGGAAACTGAGATGAGCACCGCCCCCTAGAGTCGGATTCAACTGGCTTTCGAGCAAGGGAACCTTTACTGAATAACAAAAGTGGTACAAACCCACCAGGGATGCCGAGTAAAACCACTTTTAGATCACAAGCAAACCTTACATGGGGCTGTGTTTGAGGCTGGGCTCTTGATGTTTTAAATCTTTTTCTTATCCATTTTAAAGTATAGGGTTAAGCAAAAATAGTTATCACAGGTTGCCATTTGGAGCCTAGCAGGAGGGAAATAGCACTCCAGGTTCGCCATCTGTCTAATATGGGGGTAGGTCTGGCTTTTAAAAAAAACAGTGATGTTCTCTTCACTTACTATACATATTTAACCGAACACAGTTTAATTCTGATTATAAGCTTTGGTGTGCATCAAGGTGAAGTACGCCTGCACACCAAAGCTTATACCCAGAATGTTCTTAAAGGTGCTGCTGGACTCAGACTTTGTTCTATTGCTTCAGACGAACATGGATACCCACCTGAACCTCTATTTAAAAGCGTATCTTATCACCAAACCCCTCATTTGTAGACAAACGTAACAAGAAGATAAAGGGCTGAGTAAATATCTCCCAAATGATGTCAATCTTTATAGACCAATAAATATTGATAACAACAAAACGATGTTTTGTTTCTTGGTATCCGTAAGATAATTACAACGTCCTGGAAACACAGTGTAGGGATACAGCAATCAGTTAGACCCTCCATGTATTGGTATATGTAAATTAAAACAGTGCTGTAGTGATGAGGATGCCAGACGGGAGGTACATAAGAACATAAGCCGATGTTGGATCAGTCTAATGGCCCATCCAGTCCAACACTGTCACACAGTGGCCAAAAATACCAGGTGCCATCAGGAGGTCCATCAGAGGAGCCAGGACACTAGAAGCCCTCCCACTGTTGCCCCCTCCCCCCAAGCACCAAGAATACAGAGCATCATTTGCCCCAGACCGAGAGTTCCTATCTATACCTTGTGGCTAGCTAACAGCCACTGATGGACCTGTGCTCCATACGTTTATCCAATTCCCTCTTGAAGCTGTCCATGCTTGTAGCCGCCACCTCCTCCTGTGGCAGTGAATTCCATGTGTTAATCACTCTTTGGGTGAAGAAGGACTTCCTTTTATCTGTTCTAACCTGACTGCTCAGTGAGAAAGGGAGAGAAGTACCTCTTTCTCTACCTGCTCTATCCCATGCATAATCTTATAAACCTCGATCATGTCACCCCTCAGCCGTCATTTCTCCAAGCTAAAGAGCCCCAAGTGCTTTTTAACCTTTCTTCATAGGGAAAGTGTTCCAACCCTTTTATCATTCTAGTTGCCCTTTTCTGCACTTTTTCCAGTGCTATAATATCCTTTTTGAGGTGTGGTGACCAGAACAGTACACAATATTCCAAATGAGGTTGCACCATCAATTTATACAGGGGCATTATGATACTGGCTGATTTGTTTTCAATTCCCTTCCTAATAATCCCCAGGACAGTGTTGGCCTTTTTTATTGCAGTTGCACACTGTCTCAACATTTTCAGTGAGTTATCTACTACAACTCCAAGATCTCTGTCTTGGTCAGTCTCTGCCAGTTCAGATCCCATCTATGTGTATTTATAGTTAGGATTTTTTTTCCCCCAATGTGCACCACTTTGCACTTGGCCACACTGAACCCCATTTGCCACATTGATGCCCACTCGCCCATCCTCAATAGATCCCTTTGGAGTACCTCACAATTCCATCTTGGTTTTCACCACCCTGAACAATTTCATGTCCTCCGCAAATTTAGCCACTTCACTGCTTACTCCCAACTCCAAATCTAATGAACAAGTTAAAAAGCATGATCCCTGCGGTACCCCACTGCTTACCACCCTCCACTGAGAAAATTGCCCATTTACCTGAGCTCAAGTCCCTGCTCGGCTATGAAACCAGCACACTGACTTTGGCTGATTCTGCATTGGCTTTTCCCTCCGTTGTTTTACAAAACCCACCTTGGAAGAGAAATTACCCTCTGCATTGCATGCTGCTTTTGCTTCCTTTGATCATCGGATTTTATTGAACCTTCCAAACTCCATGCCGCTTTCGCTTCCTTTGATCATTGGATTTTATGGTACCTTCTGCATAGATTTATGGCTCTTTTATGGCCATTCAGGGGTGACTCTGCAGTCAATACGGGCGTTGCCCCAGGTACATGAATGTGGTTTTTGAGGTTTCCCTCCCAGTTGAGAAAATGGGGAGTGAATGCTAGATGCAGAATCGCCTAGTGTTGGATGAGACTCTGAAGCTGCATCTCAGAAAGGCCTGCCTCACAGGCTTGTTGTAGAGGAAAAGTGGGATGGAGGTACACACACACACATACTGAATAATGTCCAAATACTTTTAAGTGAATAAAATTTGGACCAGGCATGAAGAGTTGGCCTAGGACCTGGAAAAGCCAGGTTCCGATCACCACTGTGCTGTGGCAGCTCACTGAGTGACCTTGGGCCAGTCCCTCTGTCAAAGCCTCGCCTACCTGATGATCTCTGTAAAAGAAGCGAGAGCAAATTAATGTGAAGGGTGGATTCCTTCTTAGTCCATGTACCTTT